CGGGATGCTCTATTATGACGAACATTGTGCCTGGTGGCCATGTAGCAAACCACGTAGGTACTTTAGTTGTGGAATTGAAACTTTCCAACAGACGGCGCCAAACTGATGCATGCTAGAAAATTCGCGGCGGTAGAGTAATGAATTATCGTCTTAGTGTTGCGCGAGGATTCGACACACACTTAGATGAAAATGAATCAAGCTGTGACGACACCAGAAGTTTTTCCGTGGAAAACCCGTAAAGGGGAAAACGGGTCTGACCCAGTTGTAAAAATACACTATAAGTTGATGATTATAGATGCCCCTTGTCTCACAGGCGGGAAATGGTTACTAGCTTTCTAAGTTACAACGTCGACTGACGACGTCTATTCAGCGGTGATCGACAGTGATCGATGGTAATCGATGACGGTCAGCGGTGGTTGATGAAGGTCAGCGGTGGCTGACAACAGTCGATGACGGTCGGAGGTGGTCGACAGAGGTCAGCGGTGATCGACGGTGATTAACGGTGGCCGGTGCTAGCCGACGGTGATGGTCGACGGTCAGTGGTGGTCGACGACGAACGATAATGATAATGACATGGATGATCTTGGACTTGAGCTCCTTTTCAAATCTTCAAGTTCTCTCTTAAGCCTCCTTCTTTCATGTGAGGGGTGAGGCTCTATTTATAGTGTTTTGAGTGCAATTAATGCAGGAATATGAACTATTTTGATTGGACGGTCCAGAGAGCTTCCCTTGATCAAATGACGTTTGATGGACATTTCAGTGCCTTAACGATGTTGGAATTGACCAATCTTGGGCTCATTGGATTCATCTTGTCGAGATGCTCGATTCGACTATGAACTCGCTAGATTCAACATCCGTTTGACCTTTCAAATGCCTCCGGAAATCCTCCAAGTGTGGTTTAATGATTTGATTTGGGCTTGATTTGACTCAGATTGGATTGACTTTTATATCATTAGGTCCGTCTCATCAAGCCGACCAGTTTGCCGACCAGTTTGACTATAAGTTTGCTGAAATCAGAGCTTTGGATGACTCTTAATCGAAGTTTGAATGTTTCTTGTTCTAAAAATTACACCGAAATTCGTGCTGACTGATGAAAATTTGTTGGTGACGTATCAAGACATAACCATGAATGTAATTTAAATCCGAATAAAAAAATAAATTCAACACTCTGTTAACTCTTATTTTCTCGCATTTCGTTATTTTCCTATCGCATTTCATTATTTTAATAACGGAAAATTGAATGTAGTAAATCCGATTGTAAAGCGGATTTATGGAATATGTATTTGATAAATCCACATTTATAGGATTTAAAAAATTCTATTTAATGCAAAATTAAGTCCCCTATATTAAAGTAAGCAATGACCCTAAGATGCTTACATATTTATAGGATTTAAAAAACTCTTAAAAAATTATTATTTATTTATTGTTTCTTCCTACTGCCAATAATAGTTAGTATGAGAACCAATCTGAGGTCGACTTGGTGCACTAAACAGATCGTCTCCTTTCTGTGTAATTTTTCATTTATTTTGGACTCTGACGTAAAAGAGGAAAAAATAATATTGTTTAAATGTCATAAGAATAAAATATTATCATATCCAAATAGAGCTGTCAAAAAAACTCGTTGTTCGTGAACAGTTTGAGTTCGGTTATATATAAAAAATTTATGATATTTAAAAAATTAAATTTTATAAATTGTAATATATAATAAATTAATAAATATAATATTTTATTTTTATATATTAATATTAGGGATGTCAAACTGGCTCGTCGTTCGTGAAGAACAACTGGTGTTCGGCTGGTTCGTTAAGAAACGAACACTAACAGTAACTTCACGAGCAATTTCAAACACAAGCTTATTTCAAACAAATAAAATTTCAAACAAATCGAACACGAACACAAGCTCTGTTTGTTCGTGTTCAATTTGTTTACACCTCTATATCCAAATAGTATTATGTCTTAAATTCCAACTATGATGAATGGTCAGAGAAGATATTTTTTGCATTTCTGTCTTATGCTCTGTTTTTTTTTGTCTGCATTTAAAAAGACCCCATGAAATCCTATAATAAATTTCCACTAACTTGAAGAAAAAATAAAGGAAAATTTACATACATACCATTCAATTCCTATATATTTATGTATCTAATACCTAAACCTCAATTATTTATATACATCCCACCTGCACGTATAAAAATATGTTAACACGAATCTTGAAAATGATAAATGGCTTAGAAGTAACAATCGTGCATAGTTGTTAATGATTATCTTGAACTGATTGTTGGCAAAGGAGATATTTTATTCGAACGATTGGTGAAACATGCCAGGAAATGTTTCAATTGGAAAAGATCAGTCCTCAAGCCGATCGACTCAAGGCTATCTTTCGGTTTAGATATTGATCGAGTCAAGGCTTACCAGACAATCAGTAACTCTCATCAATCCAATCAGTCTCCATTCTTATTATATGCGAATAACTCTGTGATTACGTAAAACTCTCCTTAAAAAGTTAATAATGATGAGACTAATATGTATTTTTGTAATGTTGTGACATATGTCTATAACTAGGGGTTCATTTCATGAGTAAAACACACTCTCTTTTATTACTCTCTACTGTGCTCTCTTTCTCTCGCACACTCACTTCTTAGCATAACGTTTTATTTTTTTGATGTATTTCCCAAACACTTCTGCATTCAACACCACCTTACAAAAGCGTGAAAATGTGTACTTTACATTTAAAAAAACTTAAAATAGCAAAATTCTGCCGACCAAAAGTCAATTAAAGTTCACTCGACGTTACTGACCCAACATAGCTAACAAGACAGTCTTTATCGAACTAAAATCTGGTAAGCTCAACTAATTAAGCCAGAAGATAGCCAAACGTAAACATATACTTGTAAAATATGCAAAATGCCCTCTAGTACCCTCATTAACGTACGGAAAAACATCTAATTACATATACTATCTCATTTTCTATAAATAGGAAATCATTTCAATATTTCATATATATGTTCATTCCCAGTGCATTTACCTCTCTCCTTCTTTTCTATCTTACGCTCTATTTCTTCGGTGTGATTCACAGACAAATTCAGAGTCAACATGATGAAAGATTTGAGAGGTATAAATGTAAAACATAAAGTTTAGATGTTAGATATGTATAAATACATAGGAATTGAGTGGTATGTGTGCAAATGCCCCAAAAATCAACTAATAATTGCTCCTGGAGAGTCTCTTCATCTTATTTCTAAAACAAAAATAGATTTCATTTCAATTTTATTATCTACTTTATTTTAAAAAAATTGCAATATTATAATTTCAATTCATATGTATGAAAAATATAAAATATCAAAATCCTTTGTTGGTTTGTTTAAAGCTGTCTCATTTGACTAAACATCAACATGTCTAATCCTGGTTATTTTTCTCTTGATTATAGGAGGGGCAATTAATAAATAAAATAAAATTTCAAAATAAATTTTTTATTTACAATGTAATCCACCAATGTCAATTTTATCTTATGATGCCGTCATTAATAAATATGAATATTTACATGTGAGATATGTAAGGGTCCATTTGGGGCAGCTTATAAGTGCGGGCGGTGTTTTCAAAACGCTTGAAAACACCGCCGTACCGTTTTATGCGCGCGTTTCACCAGCTTATCCAAAATTACGTTTGAGTTTTTACACTAAACGCAGACCGCGGGTCGATCTCTGCGGCCGGCCCGCGGGCCGCGTTTCCGGATAAACAGGATAAACAGCTTCTCCTGAAACGCATAAGCTGCCTCAAACATATGTAAATTTCTCTTTTTTTATATAAATGGAGCATACTAACTTACTTTTAAATAATTGGTCAATTTACATCACTAAATTCCACAATTCTATTGATACTTTTTGAGCAAGCAATGGTTTACATTTCTTAAAGAATAGATTTTTCTTTAGTCTTTCCATGTGAAACCACGACTTGTTCATTTATTAAGGAAGTCAAAGTGGACATTTTGAGAAAAAAATGTTACAATATGACATGACCTAATATAGAACATTGATGAGTCAAATTTCATTTGATTGCAATTATCATTATTCCGTAAAATTTAATAAGTGCCTTTTGAGATTTCAATGTGTAATTCATGTTTTATGTTCGGCTCCATTGAGAAATCATCAGAGGCTCGAGTACCACATCCTTAAGGTTAACTGTGTCAGAGGAGAATTGAACCCCCGATATTGCATCAGGACTTACTTACGTGTGGAGTCCAATGAAATCACGTTATGTGGCGATGACATTAAAAAAAATAAAATCTGCTCCGTAACATAAAAAAATATTCCCCCGGTGTTATTGTGTGTTATTCATGTGTTATTGCATGTTATTCAAGTGTTATTGATTTGTTATTGTGTCATTGTAACACCAGGAAAATTCTCATAACACAATAACACCTAAATAACGTATAATAAAACCTGAATAATACGGAATAACATGGAGGGAATACTGTGTTACCGAACCGATTTTTTTTTTAAAGTACCTCCACATGACCTGATTTCATTGGACCCTACATGCAGCTCTACATGCGAAGTCCTGATGCAATATTTTTTTCGATCTGAGGGGTCTTACACTGTGAATGCCAACCAACAAGCTGAGGTACGCAGCACACACACACAACACAGATATATATATATATATATAATAATTCATTATAAAAAACTATTCATTATTTTTATATTAAAACTTATAATATATTATTTCATTTTTTTTTAAATTTAATAACTATAATATAT